CACCGTGATTGTCTTTACAATACTGCAATGTAATTTATAACTATGTAAGAATGAGCACTGGTATGAATAAGGATCAGAATCCATTTGAATGAATAAACCTCATTGTGAACCTTTCTTGTCAATTTTTATTGTTGCTCAGTTGCTGAGTCATATCCAGCTCTTCACGCCTCCATGGACCATAGCACACCATGCCCCCCCCCGTTCTCCATTGACTCCCCAGGTCTGCCCACACTCATGCCCATTGCATCAATGACATTAGCTAACCAGTCTTGTCAACGGAAATGCCTTTTTTCTCCTTCTGACTAAATTTACAACTGTAGCTTTAGGAGAGATCATTAAATAATTTTAATAGTCATAATAGTTACAAGTTTTCCTATGAATAGCTTGCATAGCACTGGTAGGCAAGATGAGAAACACACCAAATCAGCCATCTCAGAGAAGGGGAAGACTCGAGATATTCAGTTCATTGGGGTAGGTTTTCAGAATGTCCAGCCTGTTGCACACTTATGGAATTGTTAATTACTTAATGACTATCCCCTAAATCAGCAGCCCCCAAATTTTTGGTTATCAGGGACCGGTTCCACGAAGAGAGGTTTTTCCGTGGCCCGGAGGGGGCGTGGTTTCACATGCTGCCTGGATCCTAGAGTTTCTGGCATGCCGCAACCCAATGCTGGTCCACAGACCGGGGATTGGGGACCCCTGCCCTAAATATATACATTGTTCTCCAATGAAAAACACTGAGCTTGTACTCATACATGAGGATGTGAAGCGGGTGTGTTGGCTTATTTAACCAGTGATGACCATTTCAGATATATAAACTGTTTGGTTATTTTGTATTCACCAAATGAACTCCTTCTGAGGCTGCCTGAAAAGCAATGAAAAGGACCACACTCCTATTAGTGGTTGTACAGAAACCTCCACTTCCCTGTAAACACTTCCTCGATCATTTCACATTGCTTGCAATGATACTGATGTAAAATGCAAAGCAAGATTGTGTACTTGTCACTGCAGGAACAGGTTGAAACTCTGTGTATAGCAAGCATGCCTGAAGTGGAATTACCGGTAGATATAACTTCCACATGACTAAAACGTGCCCAGGCTATGTGGATCCCTAATTATTCCCATATAGATATATATGCACAATTTTGTTTTGATAGAAAATATTTATTTAAGTAAAATATACATTCAGTATCAAAGCTGAACATTTGAATTCCTCTTAACATTTTCAAAGATTTTTAAAAAATGTATTGGGCTCTGATGCTTTTAGTTCTGGTCTCTATCTTTTGTTTCCCACCATGACCCAGAAAATTGTTAACTTTTTCTCATTTGTGTGTGTGTGTGTGTTAAGAACTGGCAATCTTTACAAACATTTAGAAGTGAGTCACCTAAGAAAACCTAATAGGCTTGTAACTGAGGTGATATTTGAATTGAGAATGCCTGATTCAAACTTCTCACCTTGCTTATGTCCCAACACAGAGCTACTCATATTTTTAGCCCCAGTTGAAGATCCTTAAACTATAAAGCTAACAATGCTGAGAACAATTCAAGGACACTCAAGGGTGTGATCAGAAACCCAAGAGGGCAGCCATTACTGCACCAGGGATCCACAGGGTATGGTCAAAAATGTCAATTTAATGGTGATTACAGTGGAATCAAAGCTCTGCAATCTACATGCAAAAGAGGTGCTTTGATCGCGTTATTATTGCCATCATCTTGACTTTTTTTTGAACACACCTTGTGTATTGGAATGGCATACATTTTTTAAGAAGGCATACTTAAATATTCTGACAGGACATTGGAATATGTTACCTCACCCATCTCTAAGTAAACTCTTTTTTTCAGATAAATAAATATTTATTGAAAATACGCAATCCCTGTGCTAAAATGTTCCCAACCTTTCTGGTTTTGTGGACTGGCAGGGGCGGCAGTGGGGGGAGGGGAGGGGAGGGGATGGTTTCATGTGCGTGTCGCTTCCACAAATGCAACTTCACACTCACCTGATGCTTGCGCGGCTCAGTTCCCAACAGGCCACGGGCCGGCACCAGGCCGCAGACCAGGGAATCCCTGGATCATGATATTGTGACTGGAAATCTAAACAGTGTACACTTAAGTGTGTAGCTTTAAGAAAAGGTTAACAAATCCATCTTGTTTTCATGCAATCCAGATTCTGCAGCTTGAAATTACCATTATTTCAATTCAGGTAATAAATGGACGTTCTCGTTGCCAACTATGGCATTCTAGGGAAGAAAATAGTGTTCAGCAGTGTTCTACTTTGTTATTACGATTTCATGGGTGTGATTCCAGAATAGTGCTTAAAAATGATCTGGAAAAGAAGAGTCTTTCCATATTATTGGTGGAGGAAGAATATAGAAGGCTAAACCAATGAAAAGAGAAGATTTTGGTAAGAACAACAAAACCATCCTTTAAAGGGTTATGGTTTGCCTGTAATGAAAAGCGAACTGCAACTTGCATTTTTAATTACGGTATATAACTTCTGATGAAGATTTTCTTCTTCTTTTTAAGATGGTTCTCTGTAAAACATAGGCACAGAAAACGGACCTGGCCTGTCCCAGTAATCCACAGCACGGACTTTGTAATAACCCACGACTGTTGTTCCTGTAAAGAAAACCCAACAAATAGAGAAATTGTGACATTTTAATTTTTTTATGAGATATTCCTGAAATATTTCTGTAAACACAATTGTGACTGGCCATTCAATTTAATTCACATTAAGAATATTCAGTTATAACTGAAATTGCAAATCTTCTTATCGTGTTCCTGAAATCAATGTCTATCCATTTATATTTTAAATATCATTTTCTGCATTAAAAGATAATGAAGAAAACTTGTTACCAATGGAAAATTTTGGAAACAGAATATCTGAACAATGGATTTGCACTCCAATGCAATTGAAGAGACTTTCAAACTGGAGTAGGGAAATGTGTTGGGGCTACGTATCAATTATAGGTGGGGCTACATTTCCTCTGTAGGATCCTTTTTTTCAAGAAACGGGCAGGCCTCATTCATCAAAGCTCAACTACAGGATATCTGAGATTTGAAAATTGTGGGTGGCAAGGACTGCAGGTCTCCGCTTTAAATTCAAGAAACTGTCCTCCAGAAGATACCCTGCAGAAATGTTTATTAATCCTCCCTTCAGTTCAAAAACCAATTTACAGATTTGACATAAAGCACTTAAAAGAAGATACTTTCTTTATGCATATGTTCATTATCCTTTTTGAATTTCCCCTTTTAAAAATGTTTCCTTCCAGAAACTGCCTATGGAGGCTTCAAAACATTGTGCATGGCAATGAAGGTGTCATTACATATTTCACTAAAGAAGGATCTGAGGAATGCTTAGGTCAGCAAATCCTGCAACACAATTTTGGGAAAGATCTTAAAGACACTTTTTGAAAAGAAATTATTTCCCACCTATTTTCCTAATTCAGAAAAAGGCTTAAAACTAAAGCTTCCTTTCCAAAAGCAACAAATTTATACTGTATTAATGACTATAGTTTTAACATGAAATATAGTGCTAACAATAAATAACATTGTAAATAATTTTAGTAAGAATTGTAGTTTCCAATAGAAATTCCAAAGGCATGCTTGAGGTTTTAAACTGAAGTTGCATTTGCTGTACCTTTAAAAATGCAGGAAGTATTTTTTTACCTGGGCTGTAGATTAACATTGTAAATATATTGTCCTTGACACTGATTTGGTGATACTCTTTCCCATCCACTGAAAACATCACTTCAAATTTTTTCAAACATCTGTGTGAGAACACAAATGCATATATATCACAAGGGTTACAGGGTTATTTTTATTTTTTCCACAGAGTAAAGGAGTTTCCAGGAAAAGAGAAGTTGAAGGTTGAAGCAATAAGAGGGGGAGGGGGGAGGAATCCAATAGCTGAGTATGTCATTGCAAGAACAGGACTCTGCATAGTACAGCACCACATTGCAAAATAATAATAATAATAATAATAATAATAATAATAATAATAATAATAATAATAACAACAACAACAACAACAACAACAACAACAACAACAACAACAACAACAAATAATGAATGGAAAACAATGGTGGATTTCTGGAAAATGACCTACTTTGAATTCACACAGCTGTCATCCCATGTTATCAGAACTTGTCCCTTCATCAGACCAATGAAACGGACGCCGTTCGCCTGCCGAGACAGAATCACCTACGTTAAACACTGCATGCATGGAAATTATGTGCTCAGATTCAGTTCAGGTTATTTCATGTGTGGACTGATTCATTTTAGGTTTGGGGGAGTCGAAAATGCATCAGTGCACACAACTAACAAAGCCCTGAAGGATGGCAGACTAACCAGGAAAACTAACCAGGCTTTGGATTTTGCTAGAATATTTTCAAAGTAGCATTTAGAGTTGGCTAAGTGGAATGTTACGACTTGCTGTGTGCAATAAAGAAGCCTGGCCTTGGAGTATCATCTGACATGCTCGAAGAATGCAAGCTATTTACTGATGCTTTCTCTTTAGCATCTCTCCCCAACATCTTTTAAGGAATTTGAATTGACCAATTGGTAAAAGGAGGACTGCTGGGGGAAATATGCTGACATTGTAAACCAGGGGTGTCAAACTGCTGGCCTGTGGGCCGGACACGTCATCCAGAAGCCGCGCCCACCCCATTGCCAGCAATGGCAAAACCATCCCGATACGTTGCGCGACATCACGAGTTTGACATGTCTGTTGTAAACAGTCCAGAGAGTGCTGTAACGCATTAATGGGTGGTATATAAATCTAAGTGTTGCTGCTATTGCTATCTTGGAGAATGCAGCTTTTTTAGTGTAAAGTGGACACACTTATTCTCCGAGACCTGCTTGTCTTCTAGGCCTACGAAAGTCTGTCCTGTGCACCCATTATGAGTAGCCAAAAGCAATATCCCTAAGACATATATTTATACCCCAGTGATAATTATGTCTTGAAGCAAGGACGGAAAATCCTGTAATCCTTCCTATACTGTTGGACTATAACAGCGAGCACTGCCAGTGGTGAGAGAACAAGACACTTATAGTTCAACAGCCAGATGGGCCAAAGTTCTTCACAGATGCTTTATAGGCCATGCATTCCCTCTGGCTGGAAAGCTGCCTCTATCCTTCCTAACCTTGATGGTTTTTACCGATTCTGTACAAGGGTATACTTGCCAGTGAAAAAAGCGGCATCTGGTGCACAGCTGTGTAAAAACCTTCTTTGGATCAAATAGTGCTGATAAAGGATAATAAAAGAACTGTGGGAGTCATGGGAAGAATGCCAAGAATCTCCCAGCCTCTCCTAACTCCAGGCTCAGAAGCAAAACAAAGTCACTTGATTTGCACCTTACTAAACTTTCTGTGTTTGCAAGCGAGTGGCAAAAGAAAGCACCCACCTGATTGGGAGCAGAGAGGGGCTTTGCACAAATATGAAGGAGGAAAACAGCTGGAATTGGAAGTTCTTGCTTCAGCCTTAAATGGTCTTTTGCAGGTAATGGAAATGGTCCTTTCACCACAGGGTCCTAAGAAATAGATTTAAAATTAGTTTTTAAAAATGCAGAGATGCTGGAGAACTATCCAAGAACCCCAGTGACACCTAAGAGTTGCGCAGCTATAGTTAAGCAAGTTGAATGTTATCAGTAGAAGACCATCATCTAAAGCAGGGGGTCTCCCAACTTGGCAACTTTAAGACTTGTGGACTTCAACTCCCAGCTATGCTGGCTGAGAAGTCCACCAGTCTTAAAAGTTGCCAAGTTTGGAGAACCTGATCTAAAAAAAGCCACTTGTTTGTCTCTTGCATTGTAACTGGGGTGGCTTCTGCATTTTTACATAAGATATTTCACGTTTAAGCCTTCATATAAAAATATGGTTGTTGGGAAGATCAACTGGCCTCTTAAGTTGAACCCTGGGAATCCATCATGATCATCTGGAGAAGAAATCTTTATCTCTTTTCTTAACCCATTGCAGAATGTATGCTCCCAGGCCTAAATCTTGCTTCAGGAAATGCAATCCCAGGATGAGGTGCAACTGACTTAAAGAACAGCAAAAAGGTGTTACATTTACACCCCTGTAAATTCAGATATTAGACAAGGACAACCCAGCTTCAAATCACTCTTCACCCATGGAAGCTCATTCGCTGACTTTGGGCCCTTCACTCTCTTTCAGCCCAATCTGCCTCTCAGGATTGTGACGATGA